AAAACATTTTTCTGAAAACTTTGTTCTACTTCCAAGTTTCCTGATAATAATAATAAATCAGTTACCTTAATTTCTTTCTAAAAGTTCAGGGTGAAAAAAAAATATATAATTGGAAGGAACCTTAAAGTTCCAACTCCCCTGCCACAGGCAGGGACATCTTCCACTAGACCAGGTTGCTTAAAGCCCCATCCAACCTGGCCCTGAACACTTCCAGGAAGGATGCAGCCACAACTTCCCTGGGCAACCCATTCCAGTGTCTCACCACCCTCACAGTACAGAATTTATTCCTAATATCTAATCTAAATTCACCCTCTTTCACCTTAAAACCATTCTTCCTTGTCCTATTGCTATGTACCCACGTAAAAAGTCCCTCTCCAACTTTTCTGTAGGCTCTCTTCAGGTACTGGAAGGCTGCTATAAGGTCTCCCAGAGCCTTCTCCTCTCCAGGCTGAACAGCCCCAACTCTCTCAGCCTGTCTTCATAGCAGAGGTGCTCCAGCCCTCGGATCATCTTCGTGGCCCTGCTCTGGACTTGCTTCAAGAGCTCCATGTCCTTCCTGTGTTGGGGGCTCCAGAAATGGACACAGTACTCCAAGTGGGGTCCCATGAGAGTGGAGTAGAGGGGCAGAATCATCTCCCTTGACCTGTTGGCCATGTTTCTTTTGATGCAGCCCATGACATGACTGGCTTTCCAGGCTGCAAGCGCACATTGCCAGCTTGTGTTGAGCTTCTCATCAACGAACACCTTAAAGTCCTTCTTCTCAAGGCTGCTCTCAATCCATTCTCTACCTAATCTGTATTTGTGCTTGGGACTGCCCTGACCCAGGTGCAGGACCTTGCACTTGGCCTTGTTGAACTTCATGAGGTTAGCATGGCCCCACCTCTCCAGCCTCTCAATGTCCCTCTAGATGGCCTCCATTCACCCAGCATGTCAACCACACCACACAGCTTGATGTCATCAACAAACTTGCTGAGGGTGCACTCAATCCCACTGCCTGTTTGCTGACAAAGATGTTAAACAGCACTGGTCCCAGTACTGACCCCTGAGGAATGCCACTCGTCACTGGTCTCCATTCAGAACCGGAGGCATTGACTGCAACGCTTTGAGTGCGACCACCCAGCCCATTCCTTTTTAATTTAATCCATGTTTTTCCAATTTCGAGACCAGGACGTTGCACAAGAAAGTACCTAACACTTTGCATATATGTAACTATCCTGAGCACATTACAGAGGTCAACTGGACATTTTCATAATGATGCCTCCTGTCTTTCAAAGAGCAACAAATATATTGCATGTCAGGAAGAGCTCTTCAGGTGTGCACACTCAGATTTATAATCTACTAAAATGCTGCATTTTACTGCTTCTCTCCCCACTCTTGTAAATTAATTTGAAATCCTCCTTAAGAAAACCCCGATTCTGTATCTGCTTGACACTGAACTAGTGTCCTTGGTACTCTTTTTGTCAAAATTAGGTTCTCCCCTGGAAAAAGGAGCTACTCTCTCAAAATTTTTCCAACTCTTTGCATAAATAAGGATATATGATTCTTATGGCTATCTGTCATGCAGTATTTTGTTGATTTATATAAATGTTTATGACTTTCTAAAGCAGACCAGTAGGTATTAAGTTAAGAACGGAACACTCTCAAAGATTTATCATTCACTCAGAACAGGTCTAAAACCACATTTCCACCAAATATCTTTTCCACTTGGTAAGAACCCACTCCTTTTGTTTTCTATGATAACTAAATTTTAGGTTTTGGTTGTTTTGTTTTAAATTATTACAAAAGAGGGTTTTTTTGTAGCCTGGTCATCACTACTTCAATAATTATTTTTCTCCTGTTTGTTTTTCAATGGAATTAAGTAAAAAGCCACATTAAAAAAAACTTGAAACTAGTAATGAAATATCAGTTTCTAGTTCCTACATCAAACATGTTACAAATTATTTAACCCCACCTAGTGATCTCCACGGTGCTACTTCTGCCAACAAAACAGTTGAGTCACAACCGTCCTCAGGGCATTAAACTGAAGTTCATCTATTTTGGTGCCTTTACAATTTTGGCTTCTGAGCACTACTGCTAATACCTCCAGCTCTAATAACATGAGGGGAACTACAGAATGTCCAAATTGCAACTGTGACCTTGTATCTGGATTCTCAGAAATTCCAAGCACAAGAAGCAAGTGGGCTACAGAACACAGATGCACTCTAAAACTGTCCAATTATTAAATGATTAGGGCCTACAATCCTAATCAACACACGGAGGAGCTGTGCTTACTGGTTACCATCCACCTCGACTGAAAACTGGTCTCAGAAGAAGAGAATGAGGAGGCTAAAAGACACTGAAAAGCACAGCAGATTCTAGAGGGGTCAAACCACACTGTGTCTCCCTGCCACACCTCCAGTCAGAACAAGCTTGCACAGAGCAGTATCAGGTTGTTTTTGCATTGTTTCATCTCCCAGTAAAGTGGAACTGGACCCTCTTGTAAAACCCTCTTTGGAGTTAAAATGGAACCACCTCACTTGTGCCAACTTTCCAGCCAGCCAAGGAAGTGATTCATCTCCACCTGAAAGAGCCTCTACAGAATGAGCTAAAGCTCTCTGGGCTACAATGCATTCAATGGCCTTCCCAGCTGATCTCCCATCTCTGATCCTCCACAGAAGACATTTTGCTGACATGACAAAATAGCTGTTGCCTTACTTCTTTCAGAGGCATATACGGCACATGTTCCTGGAAGGCTGGTGATACCACTCCTCCAGCACTACCAGCTCCCTTGACAGCTGAAGTTAAACCTCACGTAACTCCCCTGACACCCTTTATCAGGCCCCAGGGTTCCTCTGCAGCTGGGCAGACGCTTTGGGTCCTCTCGCTTTATCAGGCGCACGAGCGCTGCGCCAGGCCCTGCTGCAGGTGGTCAGGCTGCTGCTGCTGCTGCCTAGCAACAGATGTTTCTGTGTGCCCATCAGGAGAGGGTCAGCAAGGCCAGAGATAAAAGCAACAGTGATTTTCCACTGCTTTGTTGCGGGACAGGAACCCTATATATCCCTCTGCGGTAATCAAAGGCAGTTTCTAAGAGAGGACTGTCTGAGAATTAACTAGTGTAAACTAGAGATTAGATCCAGCCTTTTGACAGCAAGGTAAGCTCCATGAAAAGCCTCCCAGCTGTGCTTAAAGCAAATCATCTTCCAGGATGGAAAAATAGAAGATTTTTCCTTCTAAGAATCAGTTATGAAATGGACTCTAACGGGAAAAAGAAATACTGGAGGAAAAACAACTGTAAGAAATAAAGACTAAAGATGCATATAAGCTCAAGCATGTAAGCAAAACTTCGCATAACTGTACATGAGTGATAAGCAGATTATATTAATGGTAATTAGATAATCAACTTCAAAGCCTCAGCAGCACATAGAAAGTGGCAAAAAAAGTTTATTTTTAGATACTCAATACTAAACATTTGTGGAGCACTAATCAAATATGCAATGCAGAAGAGGCTCTACTTTGACCCACATGAATTCCTCTCCATGCCTCCATCAAACCATCTTCTCACACTGATAGCAGCACAGAATTCCTATTCCTCTCCAGCTGCTGTGTTTCCATTGACATTCTCTCCAACAGAAACAGCAGGGTGCGCAGCAATAGCTAAAAGCAAGGTGCTAATTTTTAAGACCATGCAGTCTTCCACATGCAATTGTGCCAAAAGGAAAGAACAAAAGAAAGAAAGAATGAAAAAAGAAAGAGAGAACAATTAAAAAAGAACAAAAGAACAAAATAATGAGAAAAAGAAGAACAAAAAAGGAAGGGAGGGAGGAGGGGAGGGGAAGGGAAGGGACAAGGCATTATGAAATCTACAGAAATTAGGAAGATTAAAAGCTAGAATGGACAATCTAAGCTGACTAAGAGAGTCTGAGCCTCCATATGCAATAGAAATTATATCTTAAGTATAAGAAAGCACAGCCCAAGCCATCCATGTTGCTATTTTTACAATCAAATTAAGGACCTTGAGAATTCTGCCATAGAAAAGGTTGTCCTCTGCAAACATTTACCTAGGTGAGATCATAGTCCCAGCTGCTGCCCATATTTCTGTAAAAGGAACATCACACTTTCTTTGCTGCATGGAAGACTTATCAGTAGCAGACACCATGCAAGGCCTCAAACAGCAAACAGGCTGATTATCAGCAGTGAGTGTGAGACTCTTTCTTTTGAAAGCCTTTTTTTTTTAAAGCAAGCTCTCCAGACATCCCAGTTGAGGTGTGAAAGGCCTGGAAACTGCTACAGCCACTTAGGCTGTTTCCATTTCAGCTATGAACGACAAAGTGATTAAAATGTTGCACTGTGCTCTACATCTTACTAAGAAAACTCTCAATGCTCTCACATAGCAATATTTATTCTGCACTTCAAAATTACTGCTGCAGTGCCAGAGCCAAAATATTTTACTGCACTCACTGCTCCTACACACAGTCCTATATCTAAGTACAGGACACAAAAGTGAGATTATTTTTGCATGGTAACAGTCGGGCAATAAAACATTTCCAATACTCGTATGGTGAACTCACAGGGCATTCTACAACACAGAAAGCATCATGCAGTCCAACAAATGCTTTAGGTCTTTGGCTTCCTTTCACAGAGTAAATAAACCTTTTCTACTTTCCATCCCCACTGTATTCTGCAGAACAAGATTTGTATCAGTACAAATCTCCACTTTTGAGTAGTTTTAACATAATGTATTACAGTGTGAGTGGAAGAAAAATCAGTCAAAAGAAAATAGGCTTAATCCTGGTTTAAGCCAGAACATACCCACATGGAAAGCACACGACCCACTCTACATGGAAGTGAACTGCAAAAATAGGAAAGGTGTATGAAAGAAAACATATTTGCCTACTTTCACATGTACTATGAAATACATCCTCTGTTTTTGAAGTCTCATTCTCCCAAAAAAGGGCACAGGAATGATCATGGATACAATGAAGCACACATTGTTTTCAACCTCCACTATCTGCATTGCTTACCTTCATTAACTGCATGAGGCTTAATAATGCAACAAGTACAGTTTGTGAATTTTGCAGTGTTGACTGGTCCATGACCTCCACTGGAGGGAAAGAACAACTCCAGCTCCTGAAAACAATTGTAATTGAATACATTTTAGTTTCATCTAGCTGCATACATCAGCTTTTATCATAAGTATCAACATCTGAACTATACATAATCACAGAAGATAAACCTTAATTATAGAATTTTTTTTGCTACAAATACTTTTAAATATAATATTTTCTCAAATATATCTTTCCCTCTCTGGCACCATTGCAACAATCTTAAAAACATGATTTCGATATTTCTTGCAAGTCTTCCTTTTCACTTCTGCAACACAATCTATTTCTGTTTAGAGCATTCAAAATGCTGCTGCCACAATCATAAGATAGAGATGTTCCCAGCTTTCTGAATTCTCTCTCTTTCCTCAGTACCTTTCTCAAATCCACTCCCATACATATAGATTTTATCTTCCCTCTTTTCACTTCATCTTTTCCAATGTATGAGCAAAAATGCAACTACCACCCGTTTCTCAGTATATTTTCTTTCCATATACGAAACTGACCACCACCCCATTTGTTTACAACTTTTTGCCTTAACCAACTTTTATTGGAGATTGTTGTCCACTTCTCATGCCTTAGTGACCCTGCATTTTTTGTTAATTTCAGCAAGTATAGCTACTTAGAAGAGACTGAACTGAAAAATAAAATTACTAAAAAGAAAATTGGTTCTGTCCTGGCTCAAACCAGGACACTTAGTGAATTGAAGCTGACAAACTCAATTGCTCTGATTTCTGGGATTAATCCAAATAACTTCTTTGCCTCAAATAATTTTCTTTCTTCCCACCATCACTATGCAGGTATCATACAGCTTGGGTCTTAGACTATACTATAATGTCAAGCCAGACTTTCTTTCTCAGTGATATTTGTTCACTGCCAGCTTCACACTTTTTCCATACCATTTATTCACATATGTTGCACAATATGCCAATTAACATTAGGCAAGTGCTTGAAACACAGATTTCATTTCAGACCTGTTGGTCAAATTCAGTGAGAGAACTGATAAATTTCTATTTAAGGGAAATAACAATATCCTGAAAACACTATTGCCAAATCTATCTGCTTTCTTCCCATGTTACAGTAGCAGTGGTAAAGGCCATTTCCTGGAATCATCTCATTTAATTTACTAGTTAAATTCAGATGGAATAGACTTAGATACCCGCCAGTCTATAGCTCATGGCACTCTGATGATTCCTGTAATCCTTACTTGAAAAATTGTATTATTCAAATGAATGGATTTTTCAATAGAAGGGAAGATAGGTTTTGTTCTTCTCTTAGCAAAAACTCAACATTTTAAGTGGGCATGTCTGAGACAAAAGGGTTCGCTTCCTACATCCTTCTACTTATAAAATGCTTTATGCTTCAAAGACCTTGCCTTGCTCTGTTAACTAAAGTTTACTTTACAAGAACCAGCCAGAAATTTACTATATTTAACAGTTGGATTTATCCATTAAAAATAATAATTGAGAAGTAACTAAATAACGCTGAAGGACTGGAATAATGAAATGCCAAACTAGTGGAGCCTTAAAAAGAAACTTCTTTGCCTTTATTCCAGGTCTAAAGAAATTTCAAAATTTGGCCTGCAGTGAGACACTAGCTTAGACTACACCAGAGGGATATTTAACCTTGTTATTTAGCCCCCAAAAGAACAATGCAGTCTTTCACAGTAACTGTTCAGTTTACAAAACATGTGGTTGGGACTTGGTTTTCCTTCAGAAGTTAGTTTTGGTCCCTTTATGTCTTTCTTTACAGTAAAGCTTCTGCAACATGCAGCCAACTAGTTTCCATGGCCACTGCTATGCAGCCATATAATACTGGGCCTACTAAATTAAAATAGGTGCAGGGGTATTAAATTTACAGTTTGGGTTGAGTCATTGAAGATAATATCACAGTAATAAAAATACTGCAAATGAATGGAGCCTTCAAACAGCATTTCAAAAACAATGAAATGTAAAACAACAACAAACTTAAGCCAAAGCACATACTTATGTTTCTAATAAATTTTTTATGCTAATAGATACTCTTTCCTACACTCTTGCACAGTTGGCACAGCAGTACACAGAAACAAAGAGAAATTTTAACCATTATTTATGAAGACATCTAGATATTTAACCAGAACTACAAAGACTTTTCTGACTTTAATTCTCCTTCAGCAGAAAAGGTCTATTTGATCCAAACTCCTTCTGACTATGCACCATCTCCATCAAGTCTGCCAGAAGAAAAAGCACTTCAGGTCCAGAATAAAATTTTGTATCAAAAGCAGAGGTGCATGGAGAAGATCCAGTGGCTTGGCAGATAAGTGAGATGAATGCTTGAGCAGCAGAAAACCACTAGGCCATACAGCCTAACAGCCAGCCAGACAAAGCAGCTAATCAACTCTGCCCTCACCACCAGGCTGTAAGCTCCACATATATTCTCTACAGTGCATCAATTAGCAGCTGATGAGGTATTCTGGGGCAGGTATCTCTCCAGCTAAGCTACTGCAGCTGTTCCAATTTAAACAGTGGAAAGACTAGGATCAGGGAGGCAAAAACTGGTACCTTTTCCCTGCTAGTCTAGAGCTAAGATACCGCAACACAATACCAACCAATCATGAGGCAAACTTTACTCTTGCCATCATTTACCAGTAAATCCATCCCACAACAATGCACACAAATAGTCACCTCAATTCTACAGAAATGCTAGTAACAGCTATCACTCAGTCCCAGTGGTTTTTCCTAGTACTAAGGAAAGATACATGTAAACAAAGCAAAAGAGACTCCTCAAAGCGAGGCCCACTGTGTTACTTCTCAAAACACAATGCAATACCAAGTGGCTTGTTTTCATAATTATTCATTCTGAACTATAACAGCAAAGGAAAGTATGCTGCAGGCAGAGGACAAATGAGCACTGTGGAGGAGAAGAGATAAGCAAAATACAGGAGGGCACAAAAGGATTTAATTGTTCAATCCCTTTCTTTTTATGACCAGCATCAGTCACTAGGCTATAGGTAGATTACTTAGACTATGTAATTAACTCAATGTGTGTGATGTACAGAAGACACTGAAAAGGAGCAGGCATTCTCTCCTGATTAAAGTACCCAGGGCTCCCCTTTGTGACAGAGGTAAGTAAGACTTCTGTTTTCAGACATTTTATTTTTCCATGCTAAAAAGGATCCACGAGGAATATATAAACTAGTTCTGAACTCAGTTGGGGGGGAAAATGAGGAATTCCCTACCCAGTTGCTACCAGATAAAGTAAAAATAAACCTCAGTCAACAAAAACAGTCATAAACTTACTTGAGCAGCTGAAGCAACTGAATCTGCGCCATGAGCTGCATTTCTTAGGCCATCGCATCCAAAGTTTGCTCTAATGCTGTCTGGTGCATCAGTCTGAGCCACTGCAGAGTTTGCTGGCCCCAGTAATGTTTTCCATTTACAAACTGCATCATCTCCTAAGATTTCCATAGCAACAATGGGACCGCTCGTTATAAACTGAAGTAGATCACTGCAAAATGGAAACGGCACATGGTGATCCATGCTATGAATTAAAACCAACAAAAACATATGATGCAATAGAGATGCTCGGAACTCAACTCAGCAAGGCCATGAGCAACCTGACTTAACTTTGAAGTTGGCTCTGCTTTGAGGAAGAACTAGATCACATACACACATTCCCTTATTATCGTTGTAGGAAAAGAACCAGCTAATACAAACTCACTCAAGCTACTGTGTAGTATGTTGGAGTTCACACCATATTTTAAAATATCAGTATTGGCAACAGTGAAAGAGACCCTGCCAATCATTTGTGAGACAGGAAGGACTCCTAAGCATGTCTCTTCTGCACAGCAGGATTTCAGGATCCTCAAACAAGCCCTGTGTGTGTTCCCCCACACTACTTCAGCACTGCTGTCAGGATGCATTGCTCCACTGCCACATGGATGTTTCCCATGGATTTTGCTCAACCAAAATCCAAAGTAGGAGAGAAGCAAGATTTGCAAAGTTCGTGTGGGAGAGGGGACTTAACCACAAAGTGAGTTATCACATCCTCACATAAGCAGAAGTCAAGTGATTTTAATGGGATGAATCTGAGTCAGGAGAAGAGATTGTCAGGAGCAGTATGCCTCCTGTCATGACCACCTCACTTGCATGGAAAACAACTACCCAACACTAGAAACCCAAATGTTCTATCTAAAAACTAAACAAAACATCTAACAGGAATTCTGTATCTTTACAAAACATGCATACCAATGAGCCTGCCTTTTCACTGTGTAGTCTGCACAGAACCAACAAAGGAGAAAGCTGACTCAATTGCTTTTTCTACTGCCTTAAAAAAAGAGCTTTGCACAATTATAATTGTGGACATGCATGCTCCTCCAACCATCTTCTTCCTAATTATCATTTATGCAGCGATCAGTGGGTAAAAAGAGAAATCCTACTAATTATTTTCTAAAGGAACAATATTAAAAATACAAAAAGTTACATTAATATAAAGAAACTACACAGGGAAAAGCTATTGGAACACAGGTTCTGTTGGTCAGAAACTGCTTGTCTAAGGTAACTAATTGGCTTACGCATACATGTACCCAAGAAAAAAGCAATTTCTACAACACTGCTTACTGTGCAGACTAATACTGAATATTAAATAATTTTTTAAATGAAATTCTTTAATGTGAAAAACATTCTTTTCCAAATAAGCAGAATTGGTATTTTCCCCTAGTATTCACTTAACTTACATTGTGAGTAGTGAACTTGAAAAGTAAATCTGAATTTAAAGACAAGTAATTTAGATATAAATGAATCTGAGGTTTTACATTCCACTGTTTTGAATATTCTTCTTCTATGCTTTCAATGCTTTATAACTACTCGTTTCTAATTTAGAGAAAATTCCTATACAGATGATGTAGCCAATAGGACTCCAGGATAAGAAACAGGCACATTACAGTGGACAAAGGCTACAGCTTCTCAGGTAATTACCCTAAGTGCAGATAAACATCTGTGAAATAACACTACAGGCAAAATTCTTGCTTATTTATCAGCATATTCAAGCAGGCTTGCTCAGCAAAGAAAAGGCAATTCTAATCTTCCTCTGATCTCCAACATGGTCAGACATAGCCTGGAGCCGCGTCTCTGAGAAGGACTGGAGGTTGGACTCACAATAATTCAGCTGCTGTTGCAATGGAGCAGCTGGCAGATCCTAATACTCAAGCATTTCGTGTCAATACTGACACCAGGTCTTTTGACTAGGTCAGTGCAAATCCATATTACAACATGGTTGAAAAACACAAGGCAGAGCTACACCCTCCTCCTAAAAGAGGCAGACAGTCAAGTTCAGAGGGAGGACAAGAAAGTTGTTTGTCAGCACTTTCAGGCAAAGTAGACAAGACACAACCTCTGGGTCATAAGCATTGGTCTGGTCAGTTAATGGAAAGATTAAGGTTTTTCATGTTAGGTGGAGCAGTCTAGAGGTGGAGCATCATGGAAGTCTGATGTTTTGTCCAAGGGTAGCACTACATTAAACAACTGCCCCATGCACTGTCCTTTCAGTTAGTTATGATTTGGGTTACTTGCTACCAAACCAATTCTCACAGCTAAGTGTTCTCCCTTAATTCTCATTATCTGCAAGCTCCACCCTGATCCTGAAGCTGCTCCTTCCCTTGGCTTTAAAGTTTTGCCTTGATAGCAGTATTTTCACTTCTAAGACACCAACTGCAATTCCCCTGATATCACCAGGCTGTAAAGAGTGTAAGTTAAAACTCCGGATAGCTGAAGTAAGGCTCTCTCCCTGCAGGAAGATGAACAGGATGCATACTTTGCAAAGGGCTCCATTCAAGACAAGTTCTGATTTTCCCATGGTCCTACAGTACCACAAATGGTAAGTGAATAATTTGCATTCAATAAATAAGCTTAATAGACATTGAGCTGAAATTGATATACCTACTTATAAAAAGGTTTTGCTTGATGGCCTACGTAGAGGTCAGCTGCTTCTTTTCTGGAAGAATAAAAATACATGAAGATGGATATATATAGATAAATGCACACACATATATAAATCCCCATGAAAACCACAAATTATCAGTCATCAGTAAGTTTCTAAAGACAGTATCTTCCCAACTGGACAGCTTGTGGGGTGCTTGTGCCCTGTAACAGAAACTACATTAACTTTCTGGCATAGTTTTCATGGTTATGAGCGCAGCTTGTGGCTGACTCCTCTTCATGCTCCTGCTTGGAAAGGAAGTAATAACTGCAGCCCGTAGCACCAACTTTCAGGGTCACTGATGGTCCTCACATTCTCAGGTTGAGAAATAAATGCAGCAGAGTTACCTTCTTTCCAAGCCAATGAAGTTTGGTTTAAAAGCATAAATAAACAACTTCTCTGCTTCACTGGAACTTACTTCCTTATCACCGCTAGTGTTTGATTACACTGGTGCACAAAAGAATATTACACAACCTGGTTCCTATTCAGTATCCTCAAGTATTATATGTCACATAGACAACACAATGTCTTCTAGATTAAAGCTTGCTTTCTCCCACATTTTCCCACTTGAAAACATAACTTGGTCTTGCACTTTCCCTTAAGGAACACAGCAGTTCCTACACACTGCTTTCTCTTAAAGCAATAGGGTTTCTGTAATGATGAGGGCTCCTTACATTGCCAGGCAAATAAAGGCCATCAGGCATACACAGTATGTCTGTGCCATAGCTGTTACTTAGCCTTTACTAAGGTACTGGAAGCAAAGGGATATCCTTGTCAGACAGGATGGTGGCACTCTCCAAGCTTTCTATTGCTACAAACACACTGTTTGCAGCACTGGGCTCAACTGCCCAACTGCACAAGTTTCAGGGACCATGGGTGCAGGTCCACCACACATCTACCAGTGGGCATACCATTCTGTGGTTCTTCACCCCACCACCCCCTGCAGCTAGCCAACCTACTCTCTTCCTTGCTTCTCATGTTTAACTCTTGCTTACTGCACTGCTTTTCTTTTACATGGCATATTCATGGGCGTTTTCAAGTCTAGCCCTGTCATTCTGTAGCTTCAAAATTCCAGTTCAGAAGTGCAGGCTTGGTTTTGGCTTGCTCCAAACCCTGGAGTATACTGCTTTCTGAAGCTTGTATTTGTAGAGAAGGACAAGATCTTCATGAGCACAGATAACTGAAAGCAAGCAATTCTGCTCACCCCTAGTCTGGGTACAAAGTTCATAAACAAAGCAGAGCTTGACAGAGACTAAGATTCCCACTTGGAAAATTGTTTTTACATGCAGAAACAGCTTTCTGATTTTTTCTGGTCTCTCATGCTCACTTTGAGCACTCCTCTATACTGACATAAATTACCTACATGTTTTTCAAATAACAGATTATACGAACAAAGGGAGGGTCCTGTCATCTGAAACACAACTTTTCACATCTCTCCGTCATTTGCAGTCCAGACTGTAGCCCAGTATTGCCAGAGGAAAGAAACAATCTCAAGAAGGACCTAAGAAAAAATTAATTTTCCTAATCTTGACAATAGTTGAACAGTCACAGCTTCCTCCAGCTTTTTTATCAAAATGACCATCTGCTATTTGGAACTGAATAATTCCTGGTTTGTTGCTTTCAGTTCATTCTAAGTATGAGCCATTAAAAATTCAAAATATTTTCACTGACCATACAGCTAATATGCTTTCCTTGCATTTCATAACCAAGGCAAAAACATGATTTCAAAATTATGCCAGTCACAGAACTCTTGCAATCTCAAGCTTCAAACCTACACTCCGCAAACAGCCTAAAGCTTTTGCTTATAATTCACTATTCACCAGAAAATCTCATTCTGAAACTAATTCACCAAATAATTTTGGAAAGCAACTATGAAAAAGGTATGCACATGGATTAATTATTATAATTTCTGAATGCAATAAATATTTGAGGGATGTATTTCTGAAACAGATTGAGCTCTAATACTCAGTTAAGAATTCCTATTGCAATAAATATAAATCTGCAGCTGTGCTGCGTAACTTTGTTCCTTTTTCATTTAATCTCTCTCATCAGTTCTCTGCTTTTGAAGAATGGAAAACAGTGTTCATCTGGCAATAATAGACTCAACTGACATATGATTAAATGAAGAGACTAAAGAGCTGACCTATCAAAGCAGGTGCCTCCTCTCATTTTCTTATCTTGGCTTCAATTTTCACAGAAGGCATGAATCTACTTAACAGTGATTGCCAGACAAATGTCAGTAATAACCCCTTCAAAGTAGCTGATGATGATGCTGGTTTGAACAAGCATGCCTGCAGAGATCTAAGGGTAGAAGACTTCGTCAAAGATGTACTTCTATCGTTTTAAAATGGAATAAGAAACAGAGTATACAGAGAAACCACAAATCCTAAAGACATTATTTGAAAAGTATCAAGTATCACAGTCCAATCTTGTGGTTATTAATAACTATTTTAAATTATACAAGACAACCAGGATTTTTTATGTAGCAATGGTCAATAAAAGTTCAAGTCTCAAAATTCCTTCCCTTCAGTGTGAGTCAATTCTAAAGCACGTGACTTGGCTCAACAGTTCTTCAAGTTCTCAGACAGATTCTGAAATAAAGAACCACCCAACACAACACTTGAGGATCAAATTTCTCAGATTGCAGGAGAGCAAGCCAAAAAAAGCTGTCTTGAAAGACATTGTGAATTGTAAATCAGCATTAGAAACCTGATTGAACTCATGAACTGGAGTAGTTTGAGACAGGATCTGGGACAAGTATTACCAAACACCACCAGAGGTAAATGCAGAGACAAGAGGAGGAAGTCACATAGTTGCTTCATCAGTATTTCAAATGCCAGGATGGTTTTGAGGTAAGGGAAAATTGTTTCCGACCTCACACAGAAACCATAAGATCTCATTAAAATGGTGTTATGTAAGACAAATAGCTCTTCTTTTCAACAAGTTTGGCAAAGCAGCAATGGAGACTTAGTGCTGTAACTTTGGGGAGGTCTTCTGTGATAAACTATGTTTTCTCTCCTCTGCAGTAAGCCTTTTTAAAACTCTTGTGGCTCAATGAGGTAAGCAGAGAACAGCAAAGGCTAGGGAGGATTAGGAAGATACATGAGTAAAATCTGTCCAATCCTGCAACAGCATCAGATCACTTGCTTTGCTTGGGACTTCCAGTCATTAGAAAGCAAACAAGTTTGGGTTCTGAGAGCACAAATTAAGATTTACTTTACAAACAGATTTACTAAGAGAAAACAAACCAACTACTTCAAAAACAACACTCTTATAATCAGCAATGTGGTTTGTATTAGTAAGACATGAGGTGAGGACATACAGACATCTCAATAGCAAACGCTGCTGAATTGCTAAAACTATGGTAGTCACCTTGGATTCATACAGAGACATTCTATATTTAATCACTCATACTCATTTGCACAGAACTTTTTAAGTTAGCTTAATTCACTACATGTTTTCAGAAACCTACATGATTATAGAACAGATGAGTCTTCCCTCTGTTACTCACTGGGGCGGATTTGATGTGTGGAACAAGACAGTATAGCTTCAGAGAACATTCCTAACTGCAAATATAATATTTAGATACAATAGACTGAACCTTAAAAATTCCTTACCTTGAAAGCACCATCATTTTGGCCTTAGTTATTGTAAATCCTGCATTAATAATTATATCCATTAATTCTCCAATCTTGAGTATTGCATCAGGTTTAATCAAAGCCAGTGTTCTGGGGAAAAAAAAAAAAAAAAGATACAGCCACCACTACTTTCCTTAGAGCATTTGGTATGCATGTTGAGTTTATATTCAGAGAAAAAAACATCCTATCAAAGGGAGAAATTCTGCTACAGTCAAACACCCTAGCCCTGTGTCTCATCAATTTCCATGCTGTTCTTGAATGCCAGCACAAGACATTATTGTGATAAGAACAAGCTTTGCACATTATAATTTCCTTGGCTTTCTAACCCAAGTCAGCCCACAGTGTTCCACCAGCAGTCATTATGTACTGGCTTCTCTCTTTACTCTCAAACACTTCTCCCTTAGCTAGTGTGTATCCTTACAGCTCCTCACTCATGGCTCTGGGTTAGGGTACAACCAATTTGTTCATGTATCCCTTTTTTTTTGAAGTTAACCATTACATACATAAAAATGAAGCTGTTAAAATTCCCTATTTAAAAATACTACATAAACACATACCTCTTCTGTAGAAATCAAAGTTAAATGATTGTTTTATTATTACTTTTAAATTATTTGGAGATCTCAGTGAGAATAAGGTCCTACTGTGCTTGGTACAGTACAAACATTTCATGGTACATTTGCATGCCAAATGGCTGACACTGTTAATAGACACAATAAAAGGTTGGCAGGGCAGAGGAGGTATTACGTCTCTTATACTGACTGACAGCTATATTCTAAGGGAGACCAATCCAAAAATCTCTACACTCTCCCCCACATCTTTGTTTCCAAGAACATCCTGTCTTCTTGATAATTATCTTTTTATATACTGTACATCCCCAAGGCCGGGACTGTTTTATTAGTGCGCTTTGCATAGCACCGAGTGCACCATCAGCACTAAACATATTATTAATCAAAAATAACAAGCACAAAAAGAAGGTCTGTAAAATGGCATTTTCTATTTGCATTCATCTTGTGGTGAGTCAGCTTCAAATGTGCTCAGCTTACAAATCAAGATATTTATTCAAGCCTGTATCTCAGAAACTCCACGTCTCTGACAATTCCATCTTTTACACTGTTCTCAACCATGAAGACCAGAACTTTTTTATTGCAGTACTTTCCTAAATGAAAGGCAAATAATTGCAAATCTCTCATTTTATATACCAGTGTAGCACGAAAAGCAGTCTTTAGATTAGTAGCAATATATTCTAGCCAGGGCAAATATGCTGAGGTTAGAGGAGATGGATGAACTTCCACTACATTTACTTTGAACCTTAAGTGACCCCAGATTGACAGATGCTTTGGGAACAGACAATCCATTTAACAGAAAATCTACATGAAGGGAGGAGGTGTTAGGACCAGGAAATGTAAAGAGGAAGATTTGCATGTATGTGACATTTAATCTGAAACTAAGGGAGAGATATAGATGACCTTCAGAGCTCAGAAACAGATTATTTCCTCAAGCACCAGGAAGCTCATACACACAGATCAGCTTAGGCTTGGAAACATGACACAAGAAGACTGATTGTCTAAGGGTGTAGCCAGAAACTGCATCAAAGTAGTCAACCAACCTATGCTTCAGTCCATTGCAGTGTAAACTAAAACTTGATGTAGCCCTGTCTTTAGATCAGGAAAGGCTGACCTCTGGCCAACATCCAGCACAGCATAGTCCATGGAGCCTGCTGCCCACCGCCTGTTCCCCTCTTCCCCACACAGCTCCACCTCTTTTTGTCATATTGTTTACCACATGACAGGGTGTGCCACAAGCATCAAGGCACATGAGGATAGGCTGGACTGATGACACGTAACCAACCCGTCACAAAATGCATGACCTGCATCCTGGTGTTAAGAGGTTCCCAACTCAGTTGTTTACTATGAACAGCAAGGATCAAACCACTGGAACGAGATCTCCTGTGCAGTTTGCATTTCCTTGAGGAATGCTTTTTTGATTCTACATTATTATAGAGGCTAGAGACTGCTAATGCTAGAAATAAATTGTCTCCTACTTTTCTCATTTCAAGTTTTCCAGTAAAACTGTAATTCCTAATAACATGTAATGAAATAGTGCATCATGAAGCAATTTACTACAAGACATCAATATAAGCTGCAGTGAGCAACTCTTATTTTTTTCCCTTAAACCAATACATAAACTTTAACATTTCAGTGTGAGCTTCCCAGAGGTATGGCAGATAAGAAAAGTATAATTCAGGATGCTGAAGACTGCTTCTGAGATTGGATTTTGATTTATGTGCCCTATTTTTAGTTTTAATTACGAATGTTTCTTGTGATTTGACAAGTCTGCAAAGTACATTTTTTAAACAGTTTTATGTCTAGAAACAAAGGAGAATGTATGAAAACTAAGCTAATTTGCTTACATTTTCAAGCAAATGTAAGCTTGAGTAGGGCAGTACTCCAGCAGTGAAACAACAGGAGATGGGCACTGATCAAAGAAATGGTGCACAATGCATGCCGTGGCTATGCTTGTGAGATCCACTTATTTCTAATAATACAACTATTGCATTACAGTAGCTTATGTCTTGTAGGGGAATAAAAAACACTTCTTACATCAATAACTGGAAGTGTAAGAATAACATATCCAATAAAAAATAATTTAAATCTTTCTGCCTGAGGCACAAGCTAACAGCATTTTCAAAACCAGTTATATTAATTGACTCTAAGAATAGCATACTTACACAGGACACATCAGTCAGACAGCTGTTTACCTCAGGTTACAATCACCCAGGATTACAAGTGAAAGACTACAGAAACAGAAATGCCTGTCCCATGCCAGTGACCACATAAGTGGTAAACTGTAGATAAGCTTATTCTTATTTATGCATTTTAGCCACTGTGACGGTTTCCTTATAATGTGCTGGGAGGGAAGCAGGTAAGAAGAATACTCAAATATGACTATATTTTAAAACTGACCCAAGACAGAAGAAGAACAGGTGTAGAAATTGAAACTCCATAATTCTGTCATAATAAATTGAGTCTTATTCAAGAAAGGGCCTATGCAAATCTAGCCTCTTTTTACATATCTGTTCTGTAATTCATGTACCTGGAGTTACATTAGCTTGTTTTACAAACAAAGGTGTCCAATTCAAAATGTCCAAGATTATTCATTTATATTCCTCAGTCTCTCTCAAAGGCCTTTGACAAGCCTGTCTGCATACATATTCAGTAATCAAAGTATTTCCAAAGTCAAACTAAACTGCAAATAGTCCTGTACAGCACAAAGGCAAGTAAAAGACAGCCAAACATTCTGTGTCATACAACATCCTTAGAACTATAATTAGAATTCCAGCTACAGATTATTTTAGGAATTATTGCATGTTGCAGAAATGTTACTACATATATTTAACTAGTAACTACTGTAAAGCCTGCTAGGACCAAGCCAAAAAGACAAATACCTCATATGCAACTGTTTTGCCCAAGGACTCTTAATATAATGCTGTTTACCTAGTGAAAGCTTCTGTGGAGACTGGATTTTATGGATGTCTCGCCTGTTGAAGACACCTTTCACTGTGTTCCTTTGGGCTATTCTGAATATGTAACACCACTTGTGTATCTATGTTATCTTTCAGCCAACATTGCTAAAATGTTTTCCAAACAGCTGACATGTCATAAATTCCCTTCCTTCTTTTTGTAGAGCAGCAAAAAAACTCACTCCCCCCAACGACCACTTCATTGACACAACTACAGTGCTGCTGTACAGGTGGCAACTTCCCTTACAAGAAGAGAATGTTATTTTATCACAGGCTGCCTTTTCTTGGTATAAACGCATCAGCACTAAGGCTGATGCTAGTTTAGGCAGAGCAGAAAATAATTATAAAAAGTTGTATTTATATAAAGACCGTAAACAAGACATGTAATCTACTCAAGGCTCCACTGAGGAACAGTGAGAGTAGCCACATATTCAGAAGCCATCCTGTGGTGTTCTCCACCTTCTTTGCTATTCTTCCACCATTCTCAAACCCATTTTGGAGAAAAAGTACCAGGAGAACTTCTGGAAATATAGTGTCACAGTCATTTCCATGTTTTTGTGAGGTTAAGACAAAGATGTATGTTAGAACTTGCAACATTTCTTGTATGTCTGGTTGTTTATAACTCTCCAAGAAGAGGTCCAAATACACCCAGTTAGTGGGAGGGAGCAAGAAAGTAGGCAAATAGGGTTCACTAGAACATCATGCCCAAGAACACAGCCTATGCTCTTTAAAAATAAAACTGGACCAAATTATCAAAATTTACTAATTTGCAAACTCAGAGATTACCTTCACTGAAGTCAAACCAGATTTAAATCCCATGTAAATTAATCTTATTGTCATTATAAAATGTCTTAACAAACAAGTCTATAGGTTTTATTGGCATTCTCTCTCTATACTTCCTGTCCTCATGAATACAGAGTTTGTGAGATGCTGAAAAAAATCTCAGAAAAAATCCTCCATAGTAGGAAAAACAATGAAGAACAGGACTGGGACTCCCTCGCTCCTGATGCTACAGTTGCCAGTTACTAACACAGAGTAGGTCTGATTGGTAAGGCACTAGGCTTCTGAACAAAACCCCAGAGAGACAGCTGCTAGTCTCACAGGATTCAGGACTTTTGAGCCCAGCACACATCAGTGCTACCGTAACAATTCTGCCCCCAGAGAATTCACAAATAACAAGAATGCTACTGCTGCCTGCCCCAGGGGAGTAACAAAGCTGAACAGGACACACTGTTGTCCTCCTCCCTCTCTTCTCTTTTTAGAGACCTAGAGGAGGCAGTAGTTGACACCATGGAGAAGCTGGCCTTGAAGATTTATCAGGTAACAATGGCTGTCATGAGTTCACCTGTGGGCTTGTGAGCAGGGACCACTGTGCTTCCCTCTGGCTACCAGTGTGCCAGATCACTTCACACTTCCTTTTTCCATAGTACAGAAAACTTACCTCATTTCCAGCAAAGAACAACTATTTTGAAAATCCAATCACAAAGGATAATTTTTTTAAATTTGCTTTCTTACCTCTCTGTGCGGCTCCCCAGCTTGCGGGCTGTATATTGATCCCCATAGTCCACTAAGGTCAGATGACGGGAAAAAACTGTGATTTTGTTGCCCACAAATAAATCCTCAAGGTGTAAGCTCTCATACTTTGTGCGCTTCAGAAAGGTGCGATGGTTCTTCACATCATACTGCAGAGAAAAGATTGAAATCTACCATAGCAAGAGATTTAACCAGCAGGCAAACTCAACATAATTTTTACGCTACCTTCAGAAATTTCCATAGTGCTGTGGGATTGAATCTGACCACTATATTGATTTAATTCCTAAACCTTTCAACTTGCAGGTGTACCAGGAACATTTAGAAGACTAAACCACAGTTACAAATTTATTCCATTTAAATAGTCTTAGGCTGACAGCTATCTTTGCATTTTTTATTTTATCATTTGCTTGTGCTGACTCAAGCTGTGATAAATGATTCAGGTGCCTAGTGGATACCTCTGCCCAGTCTCACCAAGAGCTCCACTAGCAGATCTCTGCTGTTTCACAGACCAATGGTTCACACCAGGAACGATCAAGATACACACTGTGGCAGTGTCACTTCTCCAGGGCATCGTTCCAATGATACTATGCTTTGTTTAACTGCCTAAGACTCAGAATTAGGGACGGATGGATGAATGCAACACTAGGCTGAGACACTCTCACTGCCTGGAGCTGTAAGCTCAAAAGCCTGTCAAGATAACTCAGTCATACATCATCATTCCAAGCAAGAAGCCAAATGTTAATGTGTACTTTTTGAGGTGGCCTGGCAAAGCACAAAGGGCAGACTGCTGAACAGTTTCTTCACTGCATTTAGATAATACAAATGCCTTCAGTTTCCTGGGAAAGTGGAATTCTATGGAAGGAAGAGCTTTGTCTTCCTCAGGCCCAACCTTCCCTTCTCTGTCTTGAATTACATGTACTGTCCTCCCATACAGGTATATTGACTAGAATAGTATTTAAATAAAGAACATAATTACCATAAATTTTTGAGAAAAAAAAATTAAGACCAAAATTACACGCTCCCTTCATGTTCTGAAATGTATGAATACATTTCTCTCCTGTTAGAAGGCTAGAAGAATTTTAAGTCTTCCCACTACAGTAAAAACTTCGCAGATCAGGGAATATACATTATTTTGATACTTCCGTCTGCTGAGGCAGGATTATAAGGAAGAATCATTCTGTGCCAAAATGTCTTCAGTGCCTCATCTGTGCTCCTACTAAGTGTCCTCTATTGCAGTGTGGTAGGGAATGAAATCACAGCATGCTGAAAAAAAATATCATTTTAATTCAGCTACTTGTTTTTTCCTGGACTTTGTCAGGAAGCCTATTAACTGATTTGAACATATTCAAATTATTCAATATCTTGACTAAAATGCCAAACATTTTGTTGGTTATATCACCAACAGTTGCTAGAAAGGCACCCTGAGCTGCTTCTCTCTTCTCAAGCAGAAAATAAAATTGGTGGAGAGGCATAGACCTCTGCTAAAGAATTCTCCTTTAGAGTGAAATTTTGGATCAGTTTGACTTTTTTATAAAGTGAATGATAAGCCACAGCAGAAGAAATGTGAGACTGTTGAGACTGTTCCCCCCTTGCGCATGTACCTGGAGGAGTAATCAAAACAAAATAGTTCAGTGCTAAGAATCTGTAATTTTTTAAGTTTTTCTTCTCTTTTTAGGAAGCTTCCTGTACCAAGATAAGTTTTTCAACCTTTTAGAATTCCCAAAGAGAGTCATTAACTATGGAAAATTCAGAGAACAGGGCAACTCTGTCAAAAGTTTGATCATAAGAGCTGCTCACTGTCCTTGGAAAAAAACTTCTGCTGTCTTCTTCCAGCTGCAAAGCAAGCTGGAAACTTGCGTCATTATTCCCACTGTCACTTTTCTTCAGAAGAACCAACACATGAAGGACTGAGAAAGAAAAGGACAGCAGAGGACTTCACATAACACAAGCTTCCAACAGCTCTGCTTCACCCTCAGCTAAGATGTGAGATAAAGGATGCTTAACGTCAGGGAGGCGGGAAAAGCAATGAAGCATCTTTCTCAATAAGCAGGGAGAAGCTGGCTCATATCCGTTACCTCAGATGCCTACATCTCCTCAGACACATTAGAGTTAAAAGCAGGCTGTCATCTCCTCAGAAAGATACCAAAAGATGCAGAAGAATTAGACAATAAAAAAGAATCACCAAATTCTGCAGAAATTAAAAAAAAATAAAAATCCAGAAGATAATCCTACATTTAATCTGTCTCATATTTTGAGATTTTGAGATTTTCTTTCTATAGTGGTTGTTCCATGCATTTTTCCTTTTTGATCCCAGACCACACTATCTTCACCTAAGAGCACACAAGCAAAATACAGAAGTCTACCAAGTCATAGGTATTTAATGCTGAATGCATTACGAAGCTCAGGAACACTTTGAAAGCTCTTGGTTTTGAGACGTTTAGGTGAAATGAACAACAATTTTGCCAGCCTACACATGGTTGTGTAGGAAGATTATTACAGCTCCTGACTGATTAGCTAAACTATCTCTGTGAAATGAAAAATAAAAATCCTCACATTTTGATAACTGTGCACACACAGGCAACATAGAAAGAACTAACTCAAAAGGGAGAACAATATGACAGAGGTTTTTTTAAGAGATTGTCAGACAAAGTGCAAAGTGTATCTCCTCACACAGGTGGGTTACGATGGTTTCAATGAGCAGTACTTGGCTAAGAAAAGGCAGGTTTCACTACCTTTCTTATTTCTGCATTTGATATTTATAGCTGGAAAACTAAAATTGTATAACAAAATGACTAAGTGTGAATATCCAAATCAAGGCTATTCTCAGACCCTTAAGTCTTCATTAAAAATTAGAAAAGACTAGTCCAAACCATTCACTCATTCCTAAAAATTCCTACAAGTTGGCTTAATAGAACTATCCTTACAGTACATAGTACATATTTATATATATGCCTGCTACTACAAAATGCTTGTTTTAACCTGTTACCAATAAACAATGGGGATTAGTTGTACGAACCACAAGTCAGAAAGATCTGTGCAAGCACCACAGACAGAAAAATCCATATCCCCCTGTGGGAAACATCCTTCTTTCCATGAAAACCTAATTAAGAGCAATTGACCATTTCCTCTACTTTGAGAAGACTTACATTTTACTCTTCAGAGACTTCTGGAATTCCAGCTGAAGCTTATTTGGAATCAGCTTCAACTTATGTTTCTCAAGCAGTAAGTCATCACTGCTGAATTTCAGTTCAGAAACCCAGGCAGAAACAGAATGAAAATGGATTTGTGAAAAGTGAGCTTTTAGAGAAAATTAACAAACAAAAAACCAAACATAAATATGGAAGCTCTTCCACATGCTTCTCTGTGAAATTGTATTCCTGCCTTTCTTTTAGTTTTAGAAACAGAGCAAGATACTTCTTAAATTACATTCTCCTTATATAGAAAATGTATAGGCATAGGCAGTGGCTTGCCATTTTATAAACTGTTGAACTGGATATTACATTTATGACAATAGATTATTTTATTCTTACCATTTCTACTGATCCATCTTTTGGATAATACAGAAGTTCATAACGCCGAAATAGTGAAGCATTTGGATCATACCATTCAGCAGTGAAAGCAAACCTGTCGTCTTGACTCTGGAAAAAGAAAAAGGGGGAAAAGAGCTATTACAGAAAGCAGATATATATAAAAACACAAAAATAAAAAATGTCCTTGCATTTGTTATCAGAAAAACACATGAAAAAAACCACTAGTAAATGTGCTTGTACATCATCATCTGCTTAGCACAGCTAATGAAATCTTTTCACTTGTTCGTGATCATCTTTTAAGTATGATGGAAACAGCATAGCAGTGTTCCAGGCAATCTCAGAACTTACTCTGATTTCATCATTCACAAAATGTGGACTGATGTAGAAGTCATTGTTAGACTTCTTAAGTCAAAGTATTTGATTTACTTTCATTTGTTAAAAAGAACATGTCTGCTCAAAACTAAATTACAGAATCTTAACACATTTTTTACACATCCTACAAGAAAACACTTTCCTCTTCCTGAGCACTCATATCTGAGCTTGTATTAATGATAATATAAACATATTCAAATCAAGGACATTAGTTTGATTCATTACTACTTCCTGAAATTTACATAAACATAAGTAGCCCGATTTCATTTACAACTCATTTGTTACCCCTAAGGAGTGTGACAAGAAAGCTGGACTGCAATAATTCTAAAAATATAGCTACAACCATAGTTTCTCTCCATTCCTTATCATTCAAAGGAGGATAACCCTCTATAGGAAAGAAGCACAAAGGCCATGCAATGCATGTGGACATGCAGTTCTAGCACCTCTTAATGGTATATGTTTTGGCTATTGATACTGCAACTTGAGTTATTTGAGAGCTGTTCGATGAAGCTCTACTTTTTTAGTTTCCACACCTCCTCTAAGGGTGATGGGTGCTCCTGAGGATAAGCATGGTCTTGGCACAAGCTTCCACTCTTTAGGGTTATTTGTACTCTTGTTACACATCTTAAAACTCTAGGTATCACTGGAAGTTCCAGTTGAAGCCCTGTAGGCCTTTTTAATGCTTCAGATTTTAGAAAGCAGCGGCATTTCAGTTCTTTCAAAGACTGCCCAGGAAGCAACAGGACAGAAAGAATTCCCATGGGCTTCCATGACTATTCTGGAACACTAGCAGGAAAAAAAAAAATCATCTTTTTCCTCATGAGTGCAAGCCTACAGACATACAGACATTTAAAAAAAACCCAAGCCTAAATAAAACCAAGACAAACCAAAACAAACAAAAAACCCAAAACAAGAACAGTGATCTTGCTTTTGTTGTCAGTGCACTTTTTCTTTCAGCATCTTCATCTTAAAACTGATTTAGAATTAAGTGCTTTTGCAGGCTGAAGTCCTAATACAAGCAGCAGCAAAAAAGAATGAGATAATGAAGAACAATTTCAGAATTTTACAATGTGATGAATACCTGTACCTGCTCAGTTAAAAGCAGCACAGCAAGTGCCCCACCTCCTGTCAGCCCTTACAGTACCCCAGGTTTACCCTAGTTTCCGGTCCATACTTGAGCCACACATGCTTGTGTCTTCATTCCTACTGCCATCATTCTGGAGATATATAAGCTAAAACAAATGCTTTCTTATGTCAAAACTCAACCTTAACTTTTCTATATAGGCATGTCGTTGGCAATAAGCATTAAGAACAGCTGGCAGGCAATCATAAATAACTGATTTCAACCTTGGTCTTAAATACATTTAAACTGCTGGAAGACAAGACATTTGATTGATTAATTTGACCATCATCTTGTCAAGGATGGATGTTATAGGGAAGGAGTTATCTACCAAAGAGGTTGTCTAAAAAGAAAAACAGTTCTGTTGGTAGAGTACTACCTCCAGAAGTTGACTAGTGATGCATGAAATAAAAAAAGTAAATACCTTAGTATTTATCCTTAGTAAATACCTCCTCATAACATGAAGACATATATAATTGCATTATTTTATGCTATTTATTTCATACTGTAGCATCACTTTCAACTACATTTTTTAGGTAGCAGTTGCAAGAGAAGCTACTGATTTCCATTTAAGCAAAACTTCTGGAATTTCCAAATCATTACGCATCTTGGGGAAGTAATGTATTTATGTAAACAAGCAAAGAAAGCATAATGAGTCTTTTCACTTGGCTACCAGCATCAGTCATTGGCACCTTCATGTTTACAGTGAGAAACTACATTGTTTGGCTTGAAAATTATCTGTTTTTTTCTTTTAACACAACCTTGGTTTTAAGATCCATTTGAAATTAATTTTATAAGATCTCACTCAATGTCTGAGCTATTCAAAATTTTTTTATTCCGTAAAATATGCTGACCACTGCTTCTAACTCAGCTGAATGGCAAAAATGACCATTCTGTATTATCTTCTTTTAGTATTGTAAGCAAAGGCAAGGTAACAAATGCTACTTAAGACTTGAAAAACACCAGAGAGCTAACCCTCAAATGCCCAGTAATGTTATCAGTAAGCAGGAAAGCTTGAATTTATAATTATTTTGTATCTGGAAAGTATAAAAAGCTAAGTTTCCTAAAACAACCAAAACAAAGTCTGTAAAGGGTCTCATGGCCCGTAACTAGACTTTTCTCTGCTTTATGGACACTAAATTATCACAATAAATATTTATAAATGCAGAGAGCAATATCAGAAGAAAACTTAAGAGCTTATGGGAAACATTGTAAAAATAATTGGATATGGATTATGTTTGCAAACAGGCAGACTGTTTCAGAGTAGCACACTGAAAAGTGAAGAAATTCAATATTAAAAGCAAGCTGAAGACCCTGTAAAGTACAACGTAAAACATAGCAGGACCCCAGTTTTACTCTCACAGATTCATGCATATAGCCTTAAAACAGATTGAAGACAATCCAGAATACAGTCATGACATGGAGTAATATGAACATCTTCTGGTGAGCCCTTGCCAGGCATCACCGTAAAACTGCCACCCCAAGCCACCAAAAGCACCAACCAATTTAAAATCATAAGTTTAAAAAATTAGTACATATTAAGCTCATAACACATCTTTCTAAATGAGATCTGGGACCTTTATTTACTTATTTAATGCAGAAGTAGGATTTTGAAGGCAAAAACCCAACACAAAAAAAATTTCCACTTCCCACCACATATTGTAAGGATTGCAATACAATTTTAAGTCCTCATACCCCTGAAACTACCTTTCCTGATCACTTACTTTCAATCAATTTACTGCTAAATCAACTGAACTGGTACAGCAAACAACTTTCTTACATACATTTCACTAGTGTGCCCTAGACTGCAATGTAGAAAGGAGTCTCAAATATGAAAAAGTACTATGGGAGACACATTACGTTTCATCCTTGGCTTCTCTTCAATCTCCTAACATAGGAAACTCAAGAAGAAGATAATTGTCCAGGGCAGAGTGATTAGAGCTCAGCGATGACCTGTCAGGTGGTATGATGTTCAATACACCACCCTGCTTCAGATCAGTGCAGAGTCCTGAATGGAGATTTCACAGCCCCTGGCCAGAGGGTCCTGGCACCTCATTGCCCCAGGAAATGGCTGAACACGTAATTCACCAGTGAAATCACATCACTGTGAGCAGCTCAAGTGAACAAATCAAGCCAATCTCTAAGTACCATTATAACTCAGAAATTCTTGCTTTAAAGCATTAGTTTCCACTCATTTCTGTACCATGCCTTCATTAAAATCACATACAGCCCCTGCTCTCATGACTACTAATTGACCAAGCAATATCTAATGGGGGAGAAATAATTTTTTGTAACTTTTCACATCAGTGGAAAAACTACCAGCATTAAAAAAAAAAAAACCCAGCAGCGACTGTGCAGTTTGTATTCACATACTGATAGTTTTAGGGTAGCTGTCTTTAGCTCAATTTTTACAGCGCCTTTCTACAGAAAAATCTAGGGCCATTGAATTCTGCGATGTCAAGAGTTCACCGACTGTGAGTATGGAAATAATAATCTTTTTCTATCTTCCTCCTCTTACAAGCTGCATGGGAAAACATTTTGATGCATGTGTAAGTTTTGCTAGCTTATGCTTTTTTATTTATATTAGTATGTGTGAATACACATCTGTCTAAGGTGCAGGTGCAGCTACATTCCAGATAAACCATTTCCTTCTACAGCAGTTTCTTGTGACTACAGTTCTTTCATAAATGCTCAGATTTAGCTTCTAGAACTTAGTCCTATGCTAGCTAAGAATGACTGCTTCCCCCAACATGTTCAGAATTAAGTACAAAATTTCATTTTTTTAAAATTCAGCTTTATTTCAATAAATGTTTCTGATGTGTGCAGAGCCATCCTAGTGTGCATTCCTTAGACAGATGTTGGCCTCACGTTCTTCAGACAGTGGGCTTGAAGCGGGGGACTGACCACCTGCCTTCATCAAGAACATTATTGCCAGAACTGGGTCCAGAAGTTATTGGTGTAGAGGGTATGATCAATCTCTAACAGCAGGTACCTAAGTGCTGTTATGAATTATTTAGAACACTTTCTCAAAGCTCAGAAATCACTCATCACTCATCTTCCAGATCAATCACCACTTCAGATTTAACTCTACCGCCAGAGGGCTTCAGCACAAATGAAATGAAAAGAAAGTCACCAATGAACTCCTAGTCTGAGGAGCAAGAGTCACGAATTTCAGTCAGATCTATCCCCCCTGTCTGCAAAGGAGCTACTCACAGTCTTTTAACTCCCCCAGCAGGTCATGTAAGGTAAGCATTCTCACAGTATCACCCACTTTTAAGAGCTCCAGAAACACTATGATTGCTTTAAGCAGTTCATTGTTATTAGTTTTCCTGTTCTCCCATTCTGACATGCCGCTCGCTTTGCTTTATTTTCAGCTGAATGCTTTTAGATGCATCTATCTGGGGAACCACAGGCCCGGCAGTACACCCAGCTTTCCAAGTAGCACTGAGTGCTTGTGAATTTAGAACATCATACAAAAAATGTAACTTCAATTAGATATAAAGATTGTCACAACCAGTGGGTTAGAATTGCTTTTCTTTCATGCAAGGACATCTTAAAATATGACAGTCCGCTGCAGATAAATCTATAGAGCTCAAAAAGAAAAATCCGAACCACTTAAACCAATTGGAATTCTACATAAAATGCTGAAGTCAGGACATCACACAGAACTTGTCAAGTTCAATTACATTAGTAGATGTCAAAATATTTAAAGCTTCCATACTCCATTTGTGCAATCAAATTTCACCTGAGGGGTGGGGTGAGGGAGTTGCAGGAATCACAAACAACTTATTGGACTGCTAAAGAAAAGTTGATGGAAAATAGAAGATGGGATTGGGATTCCTGTGTTCCCAGCTCTTCATGGACTTCTGTGCAATCTCGGACAAGTCAATATTTTGTGCCTCCTTCTCTCCACCTATAAGGAATAACTTATTATGGGAGGACTTGCCATGCTCTAAACCAGTTCTAGCTTATACAAAATAGATGGCTTAACTTCCTTTTATGCAATATATGCCTGGACTGCTACAGCGAGATGCATCTCAGAGAACAAAGAACAGTTAGTAAAATGGATGGTGTCCTTTATCACTGGACAAACCACTTGCTTTTTCATCAAACATGTCTGTCTTTGTAGTTTTCAAGCACTGTATGCTCTTCAGTCCGACTGAATGAGAAGAACAGTGTGTTTAACTAAAATAGACAACAATCTTAAATACATTTCCCAACCACTTATTCGCTGCCTTTCTTTAGGACCCCTTATCATTAAATGACAAGTACTTCTGCAAGCACAAGAAATAATGAGGCATGGTTCTCTATACTCAGGTTTCTCATCCCTGACTCTTTTCACCACAGCCTCTCTTCAGTTTAAGCATTGAATAAAGGCTCATAACCACCTGGATTCTCTAGGATTGAACTAGGATCGAACTCAACACTGAGGTCTTTCTTTAAAAATGCCTTAAAGGGTTTCTTCCCTCTCCCATTCTCATGAAAGCTGGAGGAACATCATTAATACCTCTGCCAAATCTGACTGAAATTTGTCAGTACATTTCAAACTCACTGGAAGGGAGTGGAACGTAAGACATAAGATAGTGGTCATACCCATACAAGCAGCCTGTGATCACACAAATTTTGGTCTTCTGAGGTAAAGAGGCTGAAAGGAGCGGTATAAAAAAATGCTACTTGCATACTTAACTAATTTTCCATCATCAATAATTATTTTTTTTAAAAAAATCCATTTGTGAAAGAAAAGGGAAGAACAAAAAGTGCAGAAGTATAGAATAGGTTTGGGTTAAAAGGGACCTTCAAGAACATCTAGTTCCAACCCCTCTGCATGGGCAGCAACACCTCCCACTAGACCAGACCAGGTTGCTCAGAGCCCCATCCAACCTAGTTTTCAACACTTTGAGGGATGACCCATAACATTCCCTGGCAACCTGTGCCAGTGTGTCACCACCCCCACACTAAAGAATTTATTCCTAATGTTCAACTTAAATCTCCCCTTTTCCAGTTTAAAGCTATTCCCCCTTGTTCTATTGCTGCATGCCCTTATAAAAAATCCCACTCCAGATTTCATGCAAGCCCTCTTCAGGTAATGGAAGGCAGCTATAAGGTCTCCCTGAAGCCTTCTCTTCCCTAGTCTGAACAACTCCAACTCTCTCAGCCTGTCTTCATAGGAGAGGTGCTCCAGCCCTTTGATAATTTTTGTAACCCTCCGCTGGACTTGCTCCAAGAGCTCCATGTCCTTCCTGTGTTGGGGACTTCAGAAATGGACACAGTACTCCAGGTGGAGTCCCATGAGGGCAGAGTAGAGGAGGAGAATCATCTCCCTTGACCTGCTGGCCACGCTTCTTTTGATGCAGCCAGGACACGGGTGGCTTTCTGGGCTGCAAGTGTACATTGCCGGCTCATGCTGAGCTTCTCATCCACCAACACTCCCAAGTCCTTCTCCTCAGGACTGCTCTCAATCTATTCTCCACCCAGCCTGTGTTTGTGCTTGGGATTGCCCTGACCCAGGTGCAGGACCTTGCACTTGGCCTTGTTGAACTTCATAAGGTTGGCATGGGCCCACCTCTCCAGCCTGTCAAGCTCCCTCTGAATGGCAGCCCTCCTGTCCAGCATCTCAGCCTCATCACACAGGCATATTCAGCAAACTTGCTGAGTGTGCACTCAGTTCCATGTTGCCAACAAAGACAGTAAACAGCACTAGGCCCAGTACTGACCACTGGTCACTTGTCTCCATTTGGGCATCAAAGCTATTGACCACAACTCTTTCAGTGTGACCATCCAGCCAATTATCCACTGAGTGGTCCATCCATCAAGTCCACGTCACTTCAATTTAGAGACAAAGATGTCACATGGGACAGTGTCAAATGCTTTGCACACTTCCAGGTAGACGACATCTCTTGCTCTTCCCTTATCCACAGATGTTGTAACCCTGCTAAGCCATTAAATCTTAGTGACGATTTTGCAAGAGACAAGAGAATTCAGACATACCAGTGGTATTTAACAAATACCATTCTGAGTGACAGAAAGCACCTTCATTTTCAGCACTGTAATGCCCCTTAAATCCTGAAACGAATCCTCAGCAGTGCATGCTTATTAAGTTGTGTTATTCAACCCATCTTCAACCTTCACAGTTCCTGTAATACAGGATATCTTCCAGGCAAAACTTAAATCCACAACACTATGTAGATAGAGGACTTAATTATCTCTGTCTCTTAAAACTCATTTTCCTCCTCCTCTTCTATTCATGTTTCTGACACATGAGCTGGTATCATTTTTAGAACTCAAATTTTTCATCCTCCTTGCTGCTGTTGGACTTCCCACCACTTTCTCAACAGGATTTTCTTTAGTCAAAAAGAAAAAAAATAGTATAAGAAAATCAAAAGATCACTTTTCAAATGGAGAAATATCTGGTAACTGCAATTTTCATGACAGTGTCTTGACTATAGACAAGTCTCAATCTAAACATAATATCTAGAAGCTCAGTGGTGAATGTTGCAACCATATTTCTTTTTATCCTCCCCTTGTAGAAAGCAAATTCTGCCTATTGCAAATTCACACAAATTCTATACAAACATTTTAAATTAATTAAGTATTGGATAAAATGCTTAATCATCTTTGGAAATCCATTGGGTCAGACACAATTTTACATTTACAACACTTACCTTGCTGTAAATAGGTGCTACTTCTTTTAGATCCACAGTTACCTGACTCCAAATGTTACTGGCACCTAGGCTTCTCAGATGCCTTTTGGGACTATATGTTGATACGGCTATTGCTGCCTGGACCATCTGTTGCTAAGTAACATGGGGATACTTCTGTCCCTGTAGCACTAACAATTTTCCTTGTGGACAGGGATCTCAGTGCAGAATCATAGAATGGTTAAGGTTGGAAGGGACCTTAAAATATCATCAGGTTCCAACCTCCCTGCTATGAGCAAGGAAATCTCACACTAGACCAGGCTGCATAAAGCCTCATCCAACCTGGCCTTAATCACCTCCAGGAAGGGGGCTTCCACAACCTCCCTAGGCAACCTATCCCAGTGTCTTACTACTCTCACGGTGAAGAATTTCTTCCTAATATCTAACCTAAATCTCCCCTCTCCCAGTTTAAAATCATTACTCCTTGTCCTATCACTGCCCTCTCTAGTGAAAAGCCCCTCCCCAGCTTTCCTGCAGGACCCCTTCAGGTACTGGAAGGCCGCTAAAAGGTCTTTCTGGAGCCTTCTCTTCTCCAGGCTGAATAGCCCCAAATTCCTCAGACTGTCTTCACAGGAGAGGTGCTCCAGGCCTTTGATCATCTTCACGGCCCTTCTCTGGACCCTCTCCAATAGCTCCATGTCTTTCCTGTGCTGAGGGCACCAGAACTGTAAGCAGTACTCCAGATTAGTACTGGAGTCTTACCAGAGCAGAGTAGAGAGGCAGAGTCACCTGCTGGCCACACTTCTTTTGATGCAGCTCCACCAGACTGCCATGACCTCTCAAATATGAGGGACTGAGGCTTGGCAACTGCATCTGCCAGCTCCCTCAGGACCTGCAGATGGACCCCATCAGGTCCAACAGACTTGTGCACCTTCAGGTTCTTTAGATGGCCATAAACCTGCTCTTATAGTGGGGGTGCTTCATTCTCCTAATCCCTGCTTTCACCTGCTGTGGCCTTTGAAATGAGATTGAAACAGTTGCCAGAGAAGACTGAGGCAAAGAAGTCATTGAGAACCTCACCCTTCTCAATATCCTGTGTAACTAGGTCTCCCATTTCCTTCAGGAGAGGTCCTACATTTTCCTTAGTTGTCCTTTTATCCCCAACACACCTATAGAAGCTTTTCTTTCTGACTCAGAACAGCCTTTGTCACACAAACCATCTCACACAACTATATTTCAGCACTAAGTTTTGGTGCTTTTCACCTCATCAGCCAGTAGTGGCAGAACTAAAGCTGCCACAGTCACCTGCTAAACACTTGGTCTCTGACTTGGACCTATGAGGTTAGTGTCTGCATGTGAACCCAGGAAGGGAAATAGGCCTACACATACACTGAGCTACCTGTGCATATCCATGACATGATCCAACCTATATTGTACTTAAAGGAAAAACTTCTTTGAAAGGCTCAAAACTTAGCCCAACAATAAAAGTGATGGCAATACCCAAAGGTAGTTTTCTAAAAGAAGACCCCACAGTCTTCTTTTGTAGAGACTGGTCATCTGGAAAAAAATCAGATTTCAGTTTCCAAGCTTTTCAGAACTAAAGCTCTTCAGATGACCGAATTTTTATGTTTCTAATTAGCATTCTATAATGTTTTTATATTTTTCCCCCATATACAAGCCTTCCATTAATTTTAAACCTCCAGCAGAATCT